CGTACCAGTGCGTGGCCTCGCTGGGTGAGGGCTTTGCTGCCTTTCCTTTTTTAGTTCTTGTGATGGCAATGGTGGTGAGTAGATGGTTGGACTAAATGGTCTTCTAGGTCGTTTCCGACCTTGTGATTCTATGATTCCTCTTCGTTAGGGCACCTTTGGCTGGTACAGAATGAGCCTCTGCAGGCCGGGCTTAGAATAATCACCATGCAGTTACATATTGACTAACATCAAAATAAGAGCAATAAAACAAAAAGAGACAGGCATGAGTTTCAGGAGAGTTTAGTGTGCTGTGCAATCTGATAAAAACCCTGAGTCAGTGCTGGCAAATTGGCATCAGCCAGGAGGGGGAGAACCTGCAAACAGCTCATGTTTCTGTGTTACATGATGGCACCAGCTCCGGAATGCAAACGAGTCCCTTGTTTCTCCTTTCGAACTTACGATTTTCTGTTCAGTTCCCATGAAACTTTCCGATGTCTTGGGCATTGAGCAACTTGAAGCAACTTGAAAAGAAACACACCGTTCTAAAAGAAAACATAAAGGAAGTACTACTGCATAATTTTTTTTGTGTTGTACAAGCATGGTAGGCTCCAAAGGAAGCTGGTATGTGTTGGCCCAGTGTCCTTTAGGCCATAATTGTGGTTTCCTTGTGGGGAGGTACACAGAGTGGAGTTGTTGGACACACAGCTCTGCCAGAATCAATGAAATGCTCTCATCTCCCCTGTTTTCTCTCATTGAAGCTCCACTTCCAGTCCCCAAACCCATGCTGATCTCCCAGCTTGAAGGAGGGGAAGATCCCTGGATCCCAGATGTGCGTAGCCCTGAGGCCGTGCCAGGAGACCTCAGCCCAGGTGAGGTGGTGGAGGGAAGGAGGAGGTTGGGGCTATAAACGCCGTCTATGATGGGGAAATGTTTGGGACACCGTGTGCTATTTATGGATTTCCTTTGTCATCCAGGAGAGGATGGGATCACATATATAGTGGAAGATCTGCAGGAAAGTGGTATGGGCAAAAGGCAGTGGGGTAGCACCTCTGTGGAAGATATCGACGGAGGTGTCCAGGTGGGCTTTGAGCAAGCAGAGCACTACAAGGAGCCACTGGGAAAGCATACGGAAGAGACAACAAGGAACCTGCTGCACTTCAGCACAGGTCAAAAGCAGCCTGAAGACCACGGGAGCAAGAACGTGTGCCAGAAGAAAAAGCAGAATCCATGCACTGAGTGTGGGAAAAGCTTCAAAAGGTATTCCAACCTTGTTAATCACCAGCGCATACACTCTGGGAGGTGCCGGTTGAAGTGCTCAGATTGTGGAAAAAGCTACAAATGGAGATCTGAACTTATCAAGCACCAGCGCGTGCACACAGGAGAAAGACCCTATAAGTGTCCTGAGTGTGAGAAAAGCTTCATGAGCAGAACTGGATTGAAGTACCACCTGCGCATCCACACAAAAGAAAGATCCTTTAAGTGCTCTGAGTGCGGAAAGAGCTTCCAAAGCAGTTCCAACCTCTTTCGTCACCAGCGTATGCATACAGAAGAGAGACCCTATAATTGTACTGAGTGCGAGAAGAGCTTCAAAATACGTTCCCACCTTATCCGCCACCAACGTATCCACACAGGAGAGAGACCCTACAAGTGCTCTGACTGTGGGAAAAGCTTCAAAAGCAGTTCTGACCTCATTGTCCACCAGCGCATCCACACTGGAGAGAGACCCTACAAGTGTGCTGAGTGTGGGAAAAGTTACAAAAGCAATGGTGATCTGAAATATCATGAGCGCAGCCATACAGGAGAGAGACCTTATAAGTGTCCTCAGTGCGGCAAGTGCTTCAAAAACAGTTCCCACCTCAACCGCCACCAACAGACCCACACAGGAGCATGTAATGCTTTTATGATTTTTCTGATCGGTATTCCACACTATAACATCATTCAGTGTACTGGAAGCTAAGTGCTAACTCTCAAGCTGTGTGAATTGTCAATAGATCCGGGTACCTGGTCTCTGAAGGGAAGGATGAACTACAACTCTCAGAAGCCTTCATTATTCGGTTTTCATTTTCTGGTCGGTGGGAAAGATAAAACTGTGAGTCACAAGACTGCCTCTTTGCTTTCTGTGCTGCTGTCCATCTCGCCTACTGCATTAGAGTACGGACTTTGGTTTCGGAAAATCATTTTATTTATTAGCTTCAATTCCAGCTATACTGTATTATCTTGTGTCCCGCTATCATATATAATAAATTAGTTTCTTTCCCTTAGCTCCTTGTAATTGTATTTCTTTTCATCTAAGCCCATCTGTCTGCCTTTTTCCCTTCACCCCCCTTCCCCTTTGCCAGGTAAGGGAGCTGTAACACGTGCCTGACTTGGAAAGGATAGACCCATGCTGGGGAGCTTTGCAGTCTCCCACAGCTGTTGCGGGGTGGATAAGGGATCTGGCAAAAGAAAACGGATTTTGTTGTAAAAAGGGAAGGGTATTGCTTGCGTGGTGTTAGCCTAGAAAGGGACAGAACAGTGAAGGAAAGCGGCTACCTCAACTACTCCACCCTCAGATCCAGCAAACATCCCCCAGTCTGGAGAACAAAGAGCAGTGCCCAGAATGAACAGGGCTGCCTGGCCGAGAAGGCACCGGTCGGCACGTGTGCAATAGTAGCCCATACATATTTATTTATATATAAAAATAGACAGTAGATAAAGTTGAGTCACGAGGCTCAGAGTAGTTCTCTTCCTATCTGAACTGTTCACAGATAATCCTCCCTGTAATATACACTCCTAAGGAAGAAGCAGGTCTGTATTTATTGATATGATTCTGATATGCTGTAGTGATTTAGCAGTGATGAAACAAGACTGGTGATGGCTGGATACACTTGGTTATTTCCTGTATAGAGGATAGGGTTACACACACACACCTACAGGAGAGCTTCCGGTTGTGTCACAAGGGTCAAAGTGAATAATCACCATGCAGTTACATATTGATAACTACAACAGCAACAAAGGAAATACTGAGAAGCGTGAATTTCAGGTGGGATTTGTATGCACAGCAGACTCATAAATGCCCCAGAGTCAGTGCTGGCAAGCAGGCATCAGCCAGGAGGAAGAAAACCAGTTCCTGTGTTGGTACACTGCATGGTGCCACCAGTTTGGGCTAATAGATGACTCCCTGCTTACTCCTTTACAATGTAGGATTTTCTATTCAATTCCTGTAAACATTTTGATGCTTTCGTCATTGATATATGTTTTAAAAATAAATAAGCTGTTCTCAAGTTTATTTTGAATGAAAATACCCCTTCATAATTTTCACGGTTTTGTAAAAGCACTCTTTGCTCCAAAGGAAGCTGTGGGCCCAGTGTCGTTCAGGACCAAATTGCAGTTTCTCCCTGGGGAGGGACATAGAGTTGTTGAACGGGCACTGTGTAGAAAAATGGAAATGCTTTCATCTCCCCTGTTTGTCTCATTGAAGCCCCACTTCCACCCTCATTACCTACCAGCACATCCTCACTGCAGACACAGCCTGCAGTGTCCAAGATGTGGGAAGTGCTTCAGCCAGAGCAGCAGCCTGGTCACCACCTCTGGCTTTATGTGGTGATGAACCTCACAAATCCCTTGAGTAGAGGAAGAGCTGTGGGGCAAAACTAAATCTATTCCCTCTTACCTGCATGTAAATTACCCTTATTGCCCTCTTTAAGCTGCAGACAGCCTATTGTGTGGACATGCAAATGAGAGTCCAAAGTGGGATGTGTCACAGCCACTGGAAACCCTCTGCCAGGTGGCCCGTTTCTGCCAGGGCCGTGTGCAGGATGATGCCTGGGAAGTTACCCCTGAACTCCCCTGGAGAAACCCATCTGCTGTAGGGCAGCAGGTGAGGTCCCAAAGAAGACCTCAGCTAGGCCAATATGTCACCAGGAAGGAAGAAATCCTGTCTGCAGGCAGTGTGGGAAGAGCTTCATCTGGAGCTCAACTCTCAGTAGATGCCAGAGAACCAACCCAAGAGGAGAGTCCCAGTGAGTGCCTTGACTGCAGGAAGAGGTCTGTCCACAGCTGGCAGCTCATCACACACCGGTGGATCCACATGAGGAACCCTACAGATGTGCAGCCTGCAAGAAGAGCTTTGGGCACAGCTCGAACCTGCTGAGGTACCAGAGTGTCTGCACTTGGGTGGAGTCCAATCCGTGCCTGCACCAGTGAGTTCACGTGGCCAGAAGCCTTAGAAATGCCTCGAGTGTGAGAAGGGCTTTGTGCAGAGCTCAGAGCTCCTCACTCACAGGAGATGGCACTCGTGGAAGAAGTGCTACAAATGTCCCATGTGTGGGAAGAGCTTTTACCAGGGGATCCACTCAGTGCAGAGACTATGGAAATGCCTGCACTGCAGGAAGAGCTTCATCCAGAGCTCAGTCATCATTAAACATTGCCCCATGCATGTGATAAAGAGGCCCTGCAAGTGTCTCTGGTGCAGGAAGAGTTTCTCTCAGGGCTGGCACCTTGATCCTCCTGGGAAAACCGTCCCTTGAGGGACCAGACCTTGAGGATGCTGGAAATGATCTGAGGAGAAGAAACCTTAGTTGACTAATTATAATGGTGAAATATAATTTAATTGGGATTTAAGCTAAGAAATTAAATAAATGCTAAAGACAGTGTTTTCTGAAACTGAATCTTTTGCTGTAGCAGTTAGCAGCCAGCAGCAAAAGAGAGAGATCCCGTGACCTCTGCTGTTTTATTTTTTCTCTCCCCCTGCAAGACAGAAAATTACAAAATGACATCTTCTGGAAGTGTAGTGTCTTCTCCTGGCCCTTGGGAGCTCTAGCTCATTCGTTTCAGAAAATGGAGCATTATCTCTTCACTCCTACTCCCATCATGGCATGCTGCTATGAATGCAGTGTTCTGATGCATGAAGAAAAACCATAAAACCATGAGACCTAGGAGCTTCAGATGGCCTTTCCTTGCTAACAGAAGAAAGTCACCGTGCCCAGCTTTCTCTTCCACTCTTCCTGCTTGCAGCTTTTTGATGTTGTTTCCTAAGGAAAGGGAGCTGTGTAGAAATGTTCTGTGTGTCTGTGTGTATGTGTTATACCCAGTAATTTCTTAGTGCACTGATGAGTCAAATAAAGGGTGACGAAAGCAGTAACGCAGCTCTTGGAGATTAACTGGAAATTACCTGCAGGGTAAGGAGGGGGAGAACATAGCTGAGTTGTCCTGGAGCTTTTGTTTTCCCTGTCATCTGGCTCTATGTTCTTAAAATGTGTGTGTGCAAAAAGGGGAGGAAAAGGTGGGAAAAGGGTTTGTTTTTGGTGCTGATTACAGCCCACTGCTTGGTTCTGGGTGAAGGCATGTTTGGCACACAGCCCCGTCTCCCTTCCGAAGAACACACTTGCTATCCTTTACTTCCCAAAGGTTTTTATCTGCAGCTCAGATTTGCTATCAGATACCAAGCCTTGATTTGCTCTCATAAACATGAAAGCTTAGCTTTTTCTTCCTAAATGCAATATCCCGATTTCAGCAGGTGGCGGGAGCAAAACACAGTGCAATATGTAGAGTGCACGTTCAGCTCATCTCTTCAGTACTAAGTTTTCAGATTGCAACAGGCTCCAGAATGCACGTTTGCTTTGCAAGATATTCCTCTCTATATTTTCCCCCCGGGAAAATTTCATTGCTGGTTTCACCCCATCTTTTTGTGCATGTCATGTTTAGTTGCTTGAAGAGTAGGAAAACTCAATTTTTTTTCTCTTCCCCCTGAACTTCCCTGCTTTCCCTCTGCTCTGGGGAAAACCCTTCTGTTGCAGACATGAGTCCCTGCAGAGTTGTGACTGCAGTGCCCAGCTGCAGGAACAGGAGCAGTTCAGATGCCAAAATGCTTTGTTTCCCTTATGGCGGTGGGATGGTGGGCATGGGGGAAGAGGGATCTCCATTCTCAGGGGGGATGTTCACGTGGAAGGGAATGAACAGGCTTTGTCCTGGCCAGTTTAACCAGTAGTTGCATCCACCCAGCAGAAAGCTATGCCCTTTGAGTCTCATGCCACCTCTGCACTCACTGCAATAGTGCAGCCACTGACAGAGCTCGCAAGGGAACAACCAGCCCCCCAGGTGCCCATGTGCAAGGCTGTTACATGTTATTGGTTTTTCACGTTGGCATCCAAAGTTGGAGGCCCTGTGTGCTGCAGCATCATCAGCATGAGTGAGAGGTGGTGGGAACGGTCCTGTGACGGGTGTGCTGTGTGTGATGGATGGCTCTGGGCTCTCCATGCCAGAGATGCAGGGCAGGTTACAGGCCGTTTGTACTGGTGGGCTGGATGGAATGGAGCTTACATTTAGCAATAATGTGGTGGGTGCAGATTAAGTGACAAGGAAATAAAGTAGTTATCACTGTGGGAGTCTATCATATGCCACCCAGGCTGGATGATGATGCTAATTTGTTTCTGGGTTGGTTTGGATTCAAGAGGATGTCTCAGGAGTGAAGACGAACAAGTATGCACTCATGGCAGCTCTGAGAATCGTAAGTTTTATTTGACACATGCACACATTCATACACTTAGATAACTCTGAATGCAGCAAGCAGAAGTTCCCCAAGCAGGTAAAAATGACTTACCGACCTCCTAGAGATGGACACAGTGCTGAGCAGGAGGATGAGATGGAACATGCCTGCAGTGCTTTCACTAGGTATTGCCCATGGTGCATCCCCCGTTTCAAGGTGCACTTGTCCTCCTGGGATCCACCACAACCTCCCTCCTCTTTTTATTCTCTCCCAGTGTCTGCAGGGTTTTTTTACTCGCACACTGCAGCTGCGTGGCCAGCATAGGATAGAGGCACAGCAGAGCAACTTCCTGCAAAACAAGTTCAGCTTCTTGCAAAACAGTGTAAACCTGCAAGGTCAGCTTCTTGCAAAACAAGCTAAGTCAGCTGTAAGCACTTTCCCAGAGTCCTTTGTTCCAATTCAGGAGCATTCTTTGGTCAGAACCTTCAGATCCCTGGCACATGCCGCTGCGTGTTCCTGGTTTGGAATATGCACTACTTTTACTGCAAGTCCACAAAAAGCACTTTGCACAGCTTGTTGTACAAGTTGCAAGAAGCGTGAAATATTGCACAGAAGAGTGAGGAAATACAGGTCCAAGATACAGCCTATCTGTATTACCTTTTTCTGCAGTCCTCATCCCCAGTCCCAGGCTGAAAAAGGATTCCATCCCAAGGACTCCTGCAGCTGATCAGCGAGATCCCTTAATTCATCTAGGTTTGGAATGGATTAGGAATGGTCCGAAAGTTTCATGCAGCA